ATCCTGATACTTTGACATTATATGCTGATACTTTGAGTCAAATGCTGACTGACGATTTTCATACCACTTGTTAATCCATTATTTATACACTGAATTGACGACGGATTTTTCCGTTATTTCCTGATCATGACAACGAGCACACGGCGGGTGTGACCGGTCGGCAGGGGATGCTCACTCCTCCATGGCACCTGATCCCACCTCTGATGTTTCGGAGGTCCGTGTTTGCTTTTTATCTGATTTTATATATTGTTTAATGGACTTTGAGATTGAATACTGTTCGTTATCTCCATATCCTTCTTTGATACTATATGCTGATACTTTGACTTTACATGCTGATGCTTTGTCATTATTATACAAATATGGACTCATATATATATTCCATCTATCTGAGGTTAATATCTGTCACCCTGAGTCATTATAAATGTATATTGACCGTGCATTGAGTCCATATTTATTATATTATATAGATAATATTTACCAAAATTTATTAATACAATGAATATCTTTCTAATGTTTAGAGAGATAATATTAACCACAAATAAGTTGAATGTTAATGTTGCAGAATTTATTGAATGTTATTCAGAGGAACTTGTTTCGATAATAAACTTTGACACATAACATAATAATAACGCAAGATATCTATCTCCGAATAACACAGAGTACCTCCCCCAAATTGAAATCCCACTCGATTACACTTGCAGAGGAAATTATATGCACTGAATAAATATAAATACCTATGTCTTCTACGATAAGATACAATCATATAGGAGTTTTATGAAGAGACTTACTTTTACATTCAACAGCTGACTTTTACATTTTACTAATTGGAGTTGGTCTCTGTTTAAATTGTAAAAGTCAGTCGTCAATTGTCAAAGTAAGTCTCTTCATAAAACTCCATATGTCACACTCGTCTTTACTTTCTTTAGTCTCCGTAATCGCGTAAATAGCGTCAAAACTCTGCTCGCCGAGTGGAAAAGTCGAATTCAACCAAGAAATGGCATGTGCTAAGTATTCCCGAAAAATGTTCACAGATATTCTTGTAATTGTTTTGTAAATTCAGCCTTAGAGTTTTCACTAATATCTTATATTTTTCTCACCTACATGATCATTGATGATATTTTGTCATTAAATGCTGATACCTTGGCATTATATGTTGATACTTTTTCATTGTATGCTGATACTTTATATTTTATTTATCGAGAATTAACTGTATATATATTTTTGCGTCGCCTGCATAGCAGAGCAGAGGTACAATTAGGAATCACTATCCTGTCTGTTGAAACATCCGTCCGTCTGTCTGTCCGTTCGTTCGTCTGTCATATTCTTTATTTTATGAAAATATTGATATGATATTTTGCTAATATACTGTTTTGCACTTTTGCTTTTGTAAAATATAATGGTTACCGACCTCGTGACTTTGAACTTGACCTTTGATCTATATTTCAAAACGGTTTATTGTGCAGATATTTTTTTGGATATAATTTACAGTATGAAAAAACATTTTGTCATTTAGCAAGTGAACGGTATGACAAAAATATTATAAAATGTACCAGCGTTTGAACTTAAATTGTTTTTTGACCTACTTTGCAAAATACTCAAGAGGGTTGATTTAACTCGTGTCTCTTGATTTTGTATTTGGACCTTGAGATGAAACGAGATCAAAATCACAAATGGGTTGCGCCTTAACCATTTAAACAGTCGAGACCTGTCCTTCCTAACAACTGTTTTGCAGGCAGTTAACCGAGATCAGAACTTTTATGTATCTCTGCGGAAGGACCCTATAAAGTATCAAAATGTTCTTGAATTCATGCAAGCTCTATTGGATAACGGACATGCAGAGAGGGCCCCTGAACCTGAACTCGACAGAGAATATTGGTGCTTACCCATATATAGAGTATACCACCCACAAAAGAAAGATCGCATCAGAATGGTACTTGACTCATTTGCGAAATATCAAGGCATTTCCCTGAACGACGTCCTTATGACAAGACCGAATCTCATGAACAATCATGACCCTAGGGTCAAGATTTTTCCTATATATTTCTATGTAAAACTTTGATTTCCCATTGTGGCCCCGCCCTACCCCCGGGGGTCATGATTTGAACAATTTAGAATCCACACTACCCCAGGATGCTTCCACATAAGTTTCAGCTTCTCTGTCCCAGTGGTTCTTGAGAAGATTTTAAGATTTTTCCTTTATATTTCTATGTTAAACTTTGATCCCCCATTCTGGCCCCGCCCAACCTCGGGAGTCATGATTTGGACAATTTAGAATCTACACTACCCCTGGATGCTTCCACATATGTTAACAGCCTTTCTGGCCCAGTGGTTCTTGAGAAGAAGATTTTTCAGATATATTTCTATGTAAAACTTTGATTCCCTATTGCGGCTCCACCCTTTCCCCGGGAATCATGATTTTCACAATGTAGAATCTACACTACCCTAGGAATCTTCCACATAAGTGTCAGTTTTTCTGGCCCAGTGGTTCTTCAGAAGAATATTTTTAAATGATCCCACCCTGTTTTTGTCTTGATTATCTCCCTTTGTGAGAGGACTTGGCCCTTCATTATAAGAATTTAAATTCCCCTTCACCCCAGGATGCTTTGTTCCAAGTTTGGTCAAATTTGGTTCTTGAGAGGAAGTTGAAAATGTGAAAAGTTTACAGATGGACAGCTAGACGGACGACAGACAAAATGTGATCAGAAAAGCCTGTGAAAAGTTTACAGATGGACAGCTAGACAGAAAAGCCATGGCTCAAGTGAGCTAAAAACTGTTTCAAAAAACTTAACCTTAACCTGGGATGCAAACGCCGAAGGTAGTACATAAGATCCCCAAACTTCTTTGAGGTGAGCTAAAATGGAATGGCCTGATCATGACAAGGAGCAGACGGCGGTTGTGCTGACAGAGAGGAGCTGTTAACTCTCACATGACATCCGATCACACCACTGATGTTTTAGAGGTCCATGTTTACTCTACTATCGAATTGTATAATTTTAATATTATCAAACTTAAAGCAACATGCGCTGCATGTTTGACATCAGAAAAAAAAATATTTCAAATTTGTAATTAACTATTTCAATGACAGTAAAATAGAACTTTTATATACTTCTGTTGTTCATATTTGCTATGAGGAACTTTTTATCAGCTTTGATTGAAGCAAAATTGAATTATTGTCGTTCTGTACAATAATGAGTTCTTACATAATAATGTATATTTGGTTGTACAGAAATATTTCTTCTGAACCATTTTAAAACTTTATTTTGGTATTTTTTATCATAAGGGTTTGGATTACATACAGATTAATCATAAAAACACAATTTCACAACAAAATTAAATTCTAAAAAATGCAGCTCATATTGCTTTAATGTTCGAGCTTAATTACAGTTCGTTATCTTCTTATTTTTAAAAAACAAGAGGCCCATGGGCCACATTAATCACCTGAGTTGCTTTCACCATGCTTTACCAAATTTCCCCTTGTATACCTATTGCGACCCTACCCTATCCCCGGGGGTCATAATTTGGACAATTCAAAATCTACATCACCCCATGATGCTTTCGCATAAGTTTCAGGATTTTTTGCCCAGTAGTTCCTGAGAAGAAGATTTGTAAAGAATTTTCCTATATAGTTCAGTATAAAACTTGGACTCCAAATTGTGACCCGCTCTACCCCAAGGGTCACGATTTGAACAATTCAGAATCTACACTTCCCAAGGATTCTTCCACATAAATTTCAGCTTTTCTGGCCCAGTGGTTCTTCAGAAGATTTTCTAAAGATTTTCCCTATATTTTTCTATGTAAAACTTGGATTCCCTATTGTGGCCCCTCCCTACCCACAGGAGTCAAGATTTGAACAATTTAGAATCTACACTACCCCAGGATGCTTCCACAAAAGTGTCAGCTTTTCTGGCCCAGTGATTCTTGAGAAGAAGATTTTTCCTATATTTCTATGTGTAACTTGGATTCCCTATTGTAGCCCCGCCCATCCCCCGGGGTCATGACTTTAACAATTTAAAATCTACACTACCCCAGGAGTCTTCCACATAAGTTTCAGCTTTTCTTGCCAAGTGGTTTTTGAGAAAAGATTTTTAAATGACCCCACCCTATTTTTGTCTTTTCTTAATTATCTCCCCTTGTGAGAGGACTTGGCCCTTCATTTGAACAATTTTAATTTCCCTTTACCCAAGGATGCTTTGAACGAAGTTTGGTTAAAATTGGCCCAGTGGTTCTTGAGAAGAAGTCGAAAATGTGAAATGTTTACAGTGTGATGGACAGATAGACAGACAACGGACAAAATATCAGAAAAGCTCACGCCTCTGCTCAGGTGAGCTAAAAAAAAAAAAACAAAAAGAAGAAAAAATAGAGAAGCTGAACAATACATTAAGTTTTTTATTCACTCAAGATAAGAATAAGATTAATTTAAGGGACAAATTAAATGAATATTACTTGAAATATACAATAGCCCAATCTATTAAAAATCGTGTACTTATTTCAAGAATGCTCGAAAACTGTATCTCAAATTAAAATTATTGAGCTGCATCTTTGTAATTGAATTAAAAAATATACGAGTATAATAATAAATCTTCGAACTCTTCTAAAGATTTATTTTAAAAATATGCCTTTTTTCCTTTGAAAGAATTATTTTTGTTTATATTTAACAAATACAATAACATATCATACATCATATTAATATGTTGATTCAAGAAAAACTTTGAGAGGCAACAGGCGATTACAGAAAAATGTATAGATAAAGTGTAAATGAGCATACAATTTGTTGCAACTCTTATTCAAAATTTTTTAACCAAACCAATCTCACATTACAATAAGAATTAAAAAAAAGTATAGAAACAATAATGAATCCTTAATTGTATCAAAGAATGTCAAAAATAAACAGGCAACAAATAATAATTTGTAAAGAATGGCATTTTCCCATCAAGAGAAATCTTCAAATGTGGTGTTAATTATTACATATGTGACTGCATGAGATTATTTTACATTGTTTATTGTATGATGTGTTGAACAACTTAGGCAATTGATAACGATGCACAATGAATTCAGGTTGATCAAAACATCCCTTTTTCTAAAGCAATGTAAATCAGAGTGCTAAAACATAATACAAAACAAATCAAATTTTTAGACACCTTAAAAGCAAGTAATAGAGATGTCTTCAAGGAAATAACTGATAGTTTATTGCGAATTAAATGAATCCATGTTATTCTGCTCAATGAAAAAATATTCTATAGTGCTCAAAGAAGATAAATGTTAGTATTCTCTCTTCAAATATTATTTTACAAACAGAAACTTTAAGTAACACTGCAAACTATGCACGGACATACTACGGATGGGACGATACACCGATACATATACAGATTATATCAGGACAGATACATTTATTTTAAAGTTCGTTATATACTGTTCGTTATCTCCATATGTTTCATGAAGCTATATATTTCTTAAAGAGTATCATCCCTAATGTTTCATGGTTAACTCTGCACTTTCTTCCACTCAGACCCTTTTTAATCTCTAAAACTAAGCATGGTTTGTTAAACAGTCATATCCTTTCTGGAACAGACAGACCCTGTATATCTAACACAGACCTCATAACTAGATCCTCAACATCATCAACTTCTCCAGATTCAACACTCTCTTTTTCACAGTCTCACTCATTTGTCATCTAAATGATTTCGTTAATACACTTAATAACAGAACACCCTGTCAGTGTAACACAGAATCTTACTCCCTGTACTTCATCCTAACAATAACATCAACTCACACATCCAGAAGAACCGTTATTCTTTCTATAAAATCATCCATGATTTTTAACAAACTGTGGCAGATCTTTCGTCATTTTTTTACATCCAATCTCAGATGTGCACTAAAGAACTCTTGTAGATGAAAATCAGCCCTTGTCAGTTGCAGCTCCTTCACTACGTGCAAATGAAGTATCTAGAGTAAGGCCATTCAAAGTTTTTCTCTGTTTAGCATCCGCCCGTCTTTCAAAAACCTAGCTACCTATTCACAAAAAAAACAAAAAAAAAAACACACAAGCCAAAACATAAACCACAGGCTTAAAAGTCATAAAAATGACGCACTTCAAATGATTTGATCTAACTAAACCGCTTTAATAGAAGGAATATCTATTCTTATGGAAAAACAAGGTATTAAATGCTTAAAATACACCCAATATAACTTACTATGCAGAATTATTTGGAGAAATTAACAAAATTAAAAGAATCGACTAAATTAATCAATTTCAGGACTCCTGATGTTGTGTGTTTTTTCTTATATGGGGTGTCAAAAACCAAGGCACACGCGGACGCTAAAAATAGAAAAAAAAACTTGGAATGGTCTAATTCCTTCATTACATTCTACCTTACCTGCTATTGTCAATGATGAATGCATCCAACTCAATTTGTTGTTGACTGCACCTTTAGCTGCTACTCATATATCCACCCTCACTGTTAGTGGTGTATGATAGACACTTTGTTCATATAGCTCCTGCTTCTATTAACTCATTAACTACACTCATATGTCCACCCTCCCTTGCTGCTGTCATTGGTGTATTATACCTACCTTTTTGATTGATATTTGCTCCCGCTTTTAATAGAGCCTCTACTATATTCATATGTCCACCCTTACATGCTGCTGTCAGTGGAGTCTCAAGCTCACTTTGTTGATTGATATCAGCCCCCACTTCTATAAGCTCCTCTACTATATTCATATGTCCACCCTCACATGCTGCTGTCAGTGGTGTATTATACTTACTTGTGGATTGATATCAGCTCCCACTTCTATAAGCTCCTTCACTACACTCATATGTCCACCCTTACATGCTGCTGTCAGTGGTGTATCAAACAAACCTTGTTGATTGATATCAGCTCCCGCTTTAAGTAGCTCCTTCACTAAACTCATATGTCCACCCTCACATGCTGCTGTCAGTGGTGTATCACAACTATCTTGCTGATTGATATTAGCTCCGGCATCTATAAGCTCCTTCACTACACTCATATGTCCATCCTTACATGCTGCTGTCAGTGGTGTATGAAACTTACCTTGTTGATTGATATTAGCTCCTGCTTCTAGTAGCTCCTTCACTACACTCATATGTCCACCCTTACATGCTGCTGTCAGTGGTGTATCATACCTACCTTGTAGATTGATATCAGTTCCGGCTTCTATTAGCTCCTTCACTACACTCATATGTCCACCCTTACATGCTGCTGTCAGTGGTGTATCTAACGCACCTTGTTGATTGATATCAGCTCCCACTTCTATAAGCTCCTTCACTACATTCATATGTCCACCCTGCAATGCTGCTGTCAGTGGTGTATTATACTTACCTTGTTGATTGATATCAGCTCCCACTTTTAGTAGCTCCTTCACTTTACTCATATGTCCACCCTCACATGCTGCTGTCAGTGGTGTATTATACTTACCTTGTTGATTGATATCAGCTCCCACTTTTAGTAGCTCCTTCACTATACTCATATGTCCACCCTCACATGCTGCTGTCAGTGGTGTATCATACTTCCCTTTCTGATTGATATCAGCTCCCACTTCTATAAGCTCCTTTACTACACTCATATGTCCACCTTGACATGCTGCTGTCAGTGGTGTATTATACTTACCTTGTTGATTGATATCAGCTCCCACTTCTATAAGCTCCTTCACTATACTCATATGTCCACCCTCACATGCTGCTGTCAGTGGTGTATCATACTTACCTTGTTGATTGATATCAGCTCCCACTTCTAGTAGCTCCTTCACTACACTCATATGTCCACCCCCACATGCTGCTGTCAGTGGTGTATCAAACAAACCTTGTTGATTGATATCAGCTCCCACTTCTATAAGCTCCTTCACTACACTCATATGTCCACCTTGACATGCTGCTGTCAGTGGTGTATCATACTTACCTTGTTGATTGATATCAGCTCCGGCTTCTATAAGCTCCTTCACTACACTCATATGTCCATCCTTACATGCTGCTGTCAGTGGTGTATTATACTCACCTTGTTGATTGATGTCAGCTCCGGCTTCTATAAGGTCCATCACTACACTCATATGTCCACTCCCACATGCTGCTGTCAGTGGTGTATGCAACCCACCTTGTTGATTGATATCAGCTCCCACTTTTAGTAGCTCCTTCACTACACTCATATGTCCACTCTTACATGCTGCTGTCAATGGTGTATCATAAAATATATTGGGCATTTTCTTGTTTGTTGTTTGTATATCAACATACTTAATTAATATTCTTTCAGTCGCTAAATTTTCACTGTAACAACTCAATACAAATAAGCGGTTACATTCGGAAACAAACTGCTTTTGATTTTTTGTAATGGAGTTTGATAAAGATAACTTGTCTGTTGCATTATCTTTTTTAATGTTATTTCCTCTCTGTTTTGCTTCATTGATTAACTCGGAATTCCAAAATAGTTCAACCTCTGTTTCTTTGTGTAATTCAGTTTGTTTTAGAATATATTGTAGGATCTGAGTGTGTCCGTAACAAACCACCCAACTGATAACCCTCACACTGTATGTTCTTTCTCTATAATCACCCTTCTCATTCACCAGCACCCTCTGTCTGCGCCACTCCCTGCTCCTCTCATCACTCTTCTCACTCTCCTCCCTCACACTCTTTCCTTTACTCACTACCTTGGACACGTCTTTCTGTTCTGACAAAAATAAAGACTTCAACTCTGTATACGACTTTCTCTCTAACACTGCAATAAAAGCTTGACATACCTTGGGGTGTTTTAAAACATCATTCATAAAAACATCATACAGTTCCATATTTTCTATATCTCTGTACAAACGCTCCGCTAACAATGGATACTGATCCTCTCTTAACCTAAGACTGAGATCAAGCAAATCCTGGTTTTTTTCACTACTTAATGTTTCTTCCTCCTCCGCACTGATTTCTTCATTCTCATCATGATTATTCTCAACCTCTGACTCTTTTTTACATTCTTGTACTTTCACGTTATTAGCAATGTAACTACTGCTAATATATTGCAAAACCAGATCTGGAAACTTAGAACCAAAATGATATGCTAGGATTTCAAATACAGAGTCATGAATAATAGTGTACTCAGTACCACAGAGTTTTGTGTATGTCCCCTCCATAGCTGCCATTGCATTAACAATAAGTGTATCATTGTAACTTTCAACTTCACAATGTTCTATTACTTTCGATTTTATTTCCCAGAAAACACTTTTTTCTATGTTTTTCAATATTTCTTTTGATAGTTTATTGTCATTTAACATGCACAAAACCAATGTAGCATAGCATAATCTATTTCCTCCTTGCATTTCATCAAATAGTCCTAAAATACATTCAGCTGGACAGGTAAAGAACCTTTCAGCATTCTTTCTAAATTTCACCTCTTTTGAGTAGAGTTTACACAACAGAGGAAACATATCTGATGTTTCTTTCAGAAATGCAGGGGACAACAAATCTATATCTATGCCGTGTTTCTGAAGAATCGCTTTTTTGTCTTCGTCATTCAATTCATGTTCGGAATTTTGCATCTTAATTGTATTTTCTTCATTTGAGAAAAATGATTTGTAACATTTCTTACATTCATTAAACACTGCTTTCCTACATGACATCAATACCTTTGTATTTTCATTGGAAGGTTTTAAAATTCTTTTCTCATAGTCTATCAATGACTCTAACTTTTGTTTTTGCAGACCTAAAACGCCTACCACATCATCAATGACAAAAACCTGTGGATGACGAGAGTCAGAATAATCTTCAATCTTCCTGATGTCTATAATAGGTACGACCTCGTACTCTTCCTTCTGGAGTATCAGGGCTATGTGATGAATTGTTGCCGATTTTCCAGATCCTGGGACACCAACAAATGTCATGTAAGGTTGTTTTCTGACTTTGACCAACATTGCAGAGAAACTGTGGCTTTCACTGTAAACCCCATCATCTTTTTCCCAGCGTTTGAAGTCCTCTTTAAAAATATCTAAAATGAATCGTTCCAGCCAGTTATTTTGTGAATATTTCATCTTGTCAATAACGTAATTACCCATCTTTCGTAGTAATTAAACGTTGTACACATGGAAAATAAGTAAATGCATAACTAAGTATGGTGTATATGTTCGTGGTTATTTTAAGAAAGATAAGTTTGCAGGATTGAATTTGAAGAAGTGTTGCAATTTATGGTATGGATTTCTGAAGAATTTAAAAGTTTCTAGATTTGAAAATAAATTATAATTTAATCATAGATTACATTGTCATCAAAATGATCAAAACTTTTTAATTTTGATTAGACCTGCTTTCACCAGAATTATATCATAAGGACCCTCTCTATACCAGTACAAAATGTTTTTTGGATATTGAGAAAAATATATTCTATAAAAGTGTTAGTATTGAGCCTATTTATATGATTTTCAACATATGGTGCGTGGCATTTACCCCCAGGAAAAATAATCAAACACAACACAGTATCAGTGAATAGAAATCACTGTTGCTTACTTCCATAGAGAAAATACATGCTAATAGCATGTTCAATTAATTTATCTTGGCCTTTTAAAATGTTAAGAATACCTGAATTGATTATTTGATTATAAATTGTGTGAATTTCAAATTTTAAGAATTTAGATCTAAGGGCAGATCACTCTAAGTGCAAAAAAATACCATAGAATCAGAAATCTTCATTGTGCAGTGCAGAGAGGGTTCTTAAAAGAAATTGCCGATCTGAATTATGATATATATATATATGTAGGACTCGAAAGTGCTATGAGACTCCAAAGTCCGATGGGCACGCCAAAGTCCGATGGTCTGCGCCAAACTCCGATGTTTGACACGCCAAAGTCCGATTTTGCAGAAAACAATTAACGTTTATGACATCAAAATACTACTGCGCCAAACCTCAATGCCGCGCCATGCAAAGGTCTTTAAAAAATATAAATAAATAAATAAATGCAAAAACCAACCCTTATCTCTCAGATAGGTGCGAGACTAACCCTAAACGCTCGGAAAGTGTGTATCAACTTTAAGCTAGATATCTTGGGTGTGTGCAAGACTGACCCTTATCACTCGACCCGTGTGCGTGGACTAACTCTAAATCTCTCGGGTTGTGCAATGCAAAGACTAACCCTAATCAATCGAGGGGTGTGCGAGGACTAACCTTAATATCTCTGTAGGGTGCAATACAATAAGCAAAATCAATAAATTTTATTCGATGACGAATTCAGAAATGATGGCTTTTGAATGCAGAACAACGGCGTAAAGGATTGACAGCGGATTATTGTGACGTCATAAACATTAATTGTTCATCAGCATCATCGGACTTCGGCGTGTCAGACCATCGCACTTTAGCGCAACGTGTCTCATAGGAAATGAGCCATCGGGCTTTGGCGTGAGCATCGGACTTTGGCAACCGCAAAGACAGCGAGCCATCAGGGTTTGGCGTAGACCATCGGGGTTTGGCAAGACCATCAGACTTTCGCGTCACCATCGCACTTATTGTGAATCCATTGATGTAATATATTCATAACATGAATGAAATAATTGTAAGTCCCAAATGTTAAACTTTAAAATCTAAAATGTGTCCCTCCTACGGTTTAAAAATGCTAGGTATTGAAACTTGTAATAGGAAACAGGATTGTTCTGAAAGCAACACAAAAATTTATCAGTATTTTGTTTAACAAAAAGAGGTAAATTAGGATCGCTTCAAAATTAGCAAATTTATAATAAATATTCTTGCCTCAAGATTGCTTTTTCTTGAATTTTCATCACAAATTAAAAATTACATAATTTTTTGAGACATTTTATATCTAAACTTTTCAAATCAGAGTCGAATAATGTTTGTTTGTTGTTTGACGTATCTCTTTCAGATTCTTCACTCATTTCGTGACACAACCACTTGTCGGTGGAGGGCTGCAAATTAAAACCTATATACTCGCCACATGGGCCTTTAAGCAGTGAGGGATCTTTTTTGAGCGGTTGAAAAAAGTCTCATCGGAAAAGTATCTTTGACCCGTGATGGATTTGAACCCGGGACATAAGGATCAGCTTTTTACGCCGTGACTCTACAGCAGACGCCCTAACCACTGGGCCATGCGGGTGACTTAGACAAATTATGTTATTCATAAAAAAAAATAATAATTCTTTGACACATATACAAAAGCAAAAAAGGTAGATTTTATAATTTCATATACCTTGCACAGTTTTCAAGGAAAAAAATAATTTATTCTGATTATGTATTTCAGAACGTCTATTGCCTCCATGGAAATATAAACAGTAATGTATATACAGCTGTACAATATGTGGTTTTAACTGAAAAAAAGTCAAGATTTACAAATTTTGTGCAAATTATTTAATTTTGCCAGTTTTTGTTTTGAATTCACCAACATACCTCTGACATTTGGAGGGATTACAGACTTAGGCGTTTTTATTTCATCTGAAATATAAAAATAAAATATGAATTTTTGGGCATTTTTATAAAAATTACTTTCTTTTTATTTATTTTATTTTATTTTAAAAGGTATATTAAAACATATTTGGGCTAAATCTTGTCACTACAAAATTCATGTCGCCATTGAACCCATTCAATAAATATACAGGGACAATTATGAATGCGCATCCCCTATATTTATTTTAGGTAGTGATGAGAGGAAGTACTGTAAAGGCAGAAATATTCGGGGGGGGGGGGGTTAAATTTCGTTTATTTCGTCCTTAACAATTACCACACGTAATTTTTTTTGACTATTGTGTGCATTTGTTAATTTCGAAATAAGAAAATTTTATGTCCACGAAACATTTTTGAAAAATAAATAAATATCTTATGCCCACGGAAATTAATCACCAGTGTATGAGCAATAAAAATTTGAATTTTTGATTTTAAGCCTAAGGCTTGACATACTTCATTCCAATTAAATTGCAGCAGATGGATCTAATATGTCACCCATCAACTTCTGTTTATAGTCATCTGCCAAGAATTGATTAGTTATTTTATTTACTCTCTATATTGTCAATTACATGACCTTACTAATGTGTTAGAGACCTTTACTTTAGTGTTATAAAAATTGAAATACGCGAGATTACAGTAGCTCTGGCTTGATTTTGTGAGACTACAAGGAAACTGTTACAGGATAAGGGCAATTATTCAAGGAAGTGTAGTGAGGAAGTGACTTACACATAGGAACAAAGTAAACAGAAAAGTTATGTTACATTTAAGATTTCACCACTGTTTAATATTGTTGTGCTTCTGGCATGGTGGCCATAAAACTGACTTTTGATATCAGTCTTACTTTTCCACTAAATATTCCTTTGGTAAATTGAGACTGAGATCAAAAGTGAGTCTTAAGTTTTATGGCCCCCAGGCCTGGCGTGGTTCCAATGTGCATCACGAGTTCCGAGATGCCAACGAACCAAACAAACGTCCGGTACTCAGAAAGTTTTATTTTTTCATACATTCTTATTCCAAACTCGATATCTAGCTTGACAATAATACATATTCACTGCACTACTCCCCCTTTTCTTAAAGGAACTAGAATTGTCCAATAGGGAGAAATACCTCCCGCCAGGATTTTCAGAGAAAGTGTCAATTCACAAATATTTTTTTATGGATCTATTAAGAGTTGTTCACGATTTTCTTAGAAACATTTAGAGTGAAAATATAATTCGCCATAATATCTTTAAATGAATGAAACTAAGGTGCAAACAAATAAAAAATAAATACTGATGCATTGTAACATTTTTTTTATTTCATTGAAAAAATAAATTGCCACTTTATGTAATGATTCTCTGCAAATTAATTGTTGAAAAACATTTTACAAAATCAAATTAATCTTGATAAGTTATTATTCATTTCAAAAATAATAAGAGGTCCATGGGCCACTCGCTCACCTGAGAAGCTTTGGCTATGTTATTCTTAACCAAATTCCCCCTTGTAATACATGTACCTATACATGCTATACTGACCCTATCATACCACAAGGGTCATAATATTGGTTTACATCTACATTACACCAGGATGCTTCCACATAAGTTTCAACATTCCTGGACAAATACTTGTAGTTCTTGAGAAGAAGATTTTGAAAGTTTTTCCCCTTTATATTTCTATGTAAAATTCAATTCCCCATCGTAGCCCCACCCAACTCCCGAGAGTCATGATTTGAATAATTTAGAATCTACACTACCCTAGAATGCTTCTACCTAAGTTTCATTTTTTCTGGCGAAGTAATTCTTCAGAAGATTTTTAGAAGATTTTCCTATATATTACTATGTAAAACTTTGATTCCCCATTGTGGCCCCACCCAACCCCCGGAGGTCGTGATTTGAACAATTTAAAATCTACGCTACCCAAGGATGCTTTCACTTAAGTTTCAGCTTTGCGAGCCCAGTGGTTCTTGAGAAGAAGATTTTTAAAAATATTTCCGTTATATTTCTATTGAAAACTGTACTTGTCTTGTGAAAAAAACTTTAAACTTGGCAATAATTTTGAACATTAACGACGAAAGGGCTTTCATACTTCACATATGTAATCTTGTGAAAAGATCCTTCATTGGAAACCAAGACCTTTGACCTTTTGACTTTGGAGTTTGACCTTTAAAAAAGCAAACCTTGACCTGACAGTTTGAGCTAGTGCTTCCATACTTTACATATTTAACCCTTGTGACAAGATCTTTCAGTTGATAACAAAACCTGACTTTTGAGTTTTACTGTAAAAAAAATAACCTAAGCCATAACTTCTGAACGGTTAGGGGTAGGGCTTCTTTTCTCTACATATGTATTTTATGTAGCAAGACCTTTCATTGGATACCAATTACCTTGACCTTTTGACTTTGACCTTGACCTTGGGGATTTTTGTACGTATGAAACTCTTTTAATCTTGGCCATAGCTTTTGAACGGTAACAGCTAGTGATCTCATACCTCACTTATGTAATCCTTGTGAGAAGACCTTTTATTCAATATTCAGGATCTTTTACCCTTTCACCTTCGACTTTGACCTTCTTAAAAAGTTAACCTTGACCATTAGATTTAAAGGGTTAGGGCTAGTGCTCTCAGATTTTAATTTTTTTTTATCCTTGTGACAAGACCTTTCATTTGATAGCAAGACCTATGACTTTGGAGTCTGACTTACTTCTCAAAATTTGTAACCTTGGTTATAACTTCTGAATGGTTAGGGCTAGGGCTTCCATGATTTACATGTGTATTTTCTGTTGGAACACCTTTCATTGGATACCAATGATCTTGACCTTGAAGATTTCCGTATTTATGGAAAAATCTTTAACCTTGGCATATTTCACAATTGTTTTTCCAGTGAGAATTTCCTACTTTTAGTACCATATATTAAATTTGCGTTTAAGAAAAGTTTAATCTTTGCTATATTGCTTTAGGGGGGCATCAGTATTTCAAAAACAAATCTTCTTTCACACACAAGAAAGGTGACTAAATGAAAAATTAGCTTTTAAAGTATAAACATATTCAAGTTCAAATTGGAAGTTTGAAAGTCTTTATGAAAATTATCAAATGCCAACCAAGAATGAGCTACCAGTATATGTTTTAGATATCACATTTCAGATTTTGACATCTTTAAAATTTAAATTAAATTTTGATTTGAAAGACATTTATCTTCAAAATAGTTTTTAAAAACTTTAGTTTTATCTCTTAAAAACGTAATCCAGTTTTTTCTTTAATATAAATGTACTTACCAACAATTTTTAGCATTTTATCATTATTTTCAATTCTTTCCTCTTCACTCTCTTCTAACTTTCCTGGAAGAAAACAAATAAAGTAAGCATTAACCGCAGAAACAAATTCAAACATGGTTTTTACAAAAGGCCCATGGACCTTATAGGTCACCTGAGTATAATGTAACAACTTTTCAGCAAATGAACGTGTTTCATCCAAAAGCCATGAAATTAACAATTTTGAAAGAGGTTTATTAATTATAATTCTGATAATTGATAATATGATAATTATACACTTAGCATGCTTACTTTGGTTACTCAGAGGTAGATCAAATAACAAAGAGAAAATTCATTTCCACTTTATAACCACCAGTTGTGCACCCCATCCTACAGGAACCACTGACCTTGCAGCCATATATTAAGAAATTTTGTAAATTTTATCATAAATTTTATTTCATAATAAATGGTTGATTAATACCAAAGAGCAGATTTTAAAGCATTAATTTATTTTACGACAAAGTAACCCCCTGCCCTCATACGTCAGACCAAGGAGTCCTGAATTTAACCATTTTGAAAGAGGCACATTTCTTCATTATAAATATGTAATTAGATCAATGGCATATTAACCAGGAGCAAAGGAAAATATTTTCAAAAAATACATGAATTTCACTATATAATCAATAGAGTCTCGCCCTAGCTCCCGAAACTCTGACCCAGGGGCCCTGAATTCACAAATTCGGAAGAGGCAGCCTTATTCAACATACATGTAGCTATGTACTTGGTTTATTTTATATAATGCCCGGGAGCAGAGAAGAAAATTTTTGAAGAAATAATGTATTTTCACAGGATTCTCTCCGTTTCCAGACGTCACTTTTAGCTTTTAAGCGGGATCTTTAGACTGATCTTTTTAAGTGGCATACGACGTGTAATTTTAATTTTGAACAAGTTATCGAGTTTTATTGTCCTCAGATTATTCATTTTGGCACAACCTGTATTGTGTGAAAATCCAAGTTGATCTCAAGTTGATCTTAGTCTAGCACCTTATAATTTAAGCTTACTCTTATGTTAGTAACGATATCCTACTTTTATTAAGGTCTTCCGTTTCCAACGGAAGACCTTCTACTGATTCTGTTGGTAAAAAGTCTTTTATCTATAACTCTCTAATGATCAATATTTTGATATACATTACTGAAGCAAAAGTATTCATCTTAACGATTTGCAACAATATATGATACAATTTTGATCATATGTTACGTAATAAGGGGTCAAAAGGGGCCAGAATGTCAAATCTTTGACGCTTTATATATCGAAAAGGGGGAATATTTTGATAGGCAATATTGAACAAAAGATGGTCAGAATAATGTTCTAAACAATATGCATACTTTGAATTTTTGTAAAACGGCCCCTTTTAAGGACTAGTACGAGTGGCCCCTAAATATTTCAATTGAGCATATCTCAACAACGAAAAGAAATCTCTGAATAAGTATTGAACAAAAAATCTACCAAATTACAAGACCGTACATTTGTTATCAAGAAAATGGGGCTGACCCCTTGAATTAGGGGCTCAGAGGGGCCAAAAGTCTTTTATCTATAACTCTCTAATGACCAATATTTTTGATACATTACAGAATTAAAAGTATTCATCTTAACGAATTGTAACAATATATGATAATATTCTTATCATATGTTACGTAATTAGGGGTCACAAGAGACCAAAATGCTATATTTTTTATGCTTTATAACTCGAAAAGGGGGATGTTCAGAATATGGTGACTAAAATGAGAAACTTTAACTTTAACAAGGGAAAACTCAATGTCAGTCTTTTTAAACAAATATCTCAGTCAAAATCACATCTTATCTTATCGAGAAATTCAACGGAAGACCTACTCGTTGCTCGAAACGAGATCTCATCTAGTTATTCTTTTTTTTCTTTTGCTTCCTAGACCGCAACTTTAAGGCCTCCTATCTCATTATTTCCTCAACGGATTTCGCTCACATTTTCAGAGGTTATAGACGTTTATAAACTCTATCAGAATGATGACTAAAATTTCAATAAGTCACTTCCGGTTTTGAGTTATTCCCCTTTAAACGAAAAATCATAGGCTTTCCTTTCCGGATAAAGGCTCAGAGACCACAAAAGCTGGAGCAGAAATTTTACTCGTTTTTGATAAAAGAAAGATTGAAGTTGTGCACATCGGTTTTTGTGTTTCGATTTCTGCATTCAAAATAGCGCTATATAGGGATCAAAAATTAGAACGCCTAAAAGAGCGAAAATTTACAGATATTTTCCTTTTTATCTTAAAAACTAAAAATATTTTGTTAAGACATGTAGAATAAAAGTTGTGCATAATTACACGCACTTTCATTTGATATCATTAAAAAGGGACTGGCCCTTAAAATTAGGGATCTAGGGCCCTTAAAAGTTTTTGTTTAATATCTCAAAAAGTATTGAGAATTTATAATGCGTCAAAGAAGCAAAGTTGTTCAAAATGTCAAGCTTTATCTAATGAGGTTGTCAAAATACATCCGGGGACGTTACTTTCGGTCAAACCGGAAGTAGTCAAAAATTGCATTTTAGTTGTTCTTGACAGGTTTTTAGATATCTTATGTCACTGGAAGCTTAAATCTTAATTTTCCGTCCGTTGTCGGTCCTTCCGGTCAAACTGGATGTTGCCAAAAATAGCTTTATTTTTCAAATATGAACATAGATTTAGAGGATTAAATCATTTTTCGACTTCATTACTCTTTTTTTTCAAATGAAAGTTACTTCCGGTCAAATAGGACGGAAGAGCTACTCGTTGCTTTGCAACGAGCTCGGCTCTAGTTTTACGTTTTATGTTTTTATGATTATTGTGTAGATTTTTTAAAAATACTTTTATATCTGAAACACAGTCTGTTCAGCGCCTTAGAGTACTTTATTTCAAATAGGGCGCATATAAATGTTATTATCATTATTATTTTTTTCGCTATATAATCAATAGAGCCATGCCTTAACACCAGAACCCTTGATCCAGGAGCCATGACATTCACAATTTTGGAAGAAAGATTCATGGTCATCATAACTTTGTACATGGTTGGTTTATTTCATACACAGGAGCAGAGAAGAAGATTTTTGAAGAATATATACAATTTCACTATATACTCAATAGAGCCCTGCCCTAAAACTAAAACACCTAACCCTGGGGCCATGTAATTCACAATTTTGGTAGAGATATTTTTGCTCCTCATAACTTTGTACTCAGTTAGATTATTTGATATCCAGGAGCAGAGAAGAAGATTTTCAAAGATTTTATGCAATGTTAATATATAATTTAAAGAGCCCCACCCTTACACTCAAACATCTAACCAAGGGGCCATGAATTTCACAATTTTGGTAGAGGTAGCCTTATTAAAGATAACTATGTACTTGGTTTGTTTATTTAATGCTCAGAAGCAGAGAAGAGGATTTTCAAAGAATTTATGCATTAACATTATATAATCTATTTTGCCCCATCCTAGGACTAGAACCCCTGACCCAGGGACCATGAATTTCACAATTTTGGTAGAGAACTCAATGCTGATTACAATCATGCCAACAGCTTGACTGCTTGATGCCCAGGAGTAAGGAAGAAGATTTTTAAAGATTGCATTAATTTTAGAGCTTTTGACCCCACCCCTCAGACCCCAAGGGGGTAGGGACCACGAAATTCATAATTTTTGTTCTGCTTTACACAAAGATGCTTTGTGCCAAATTCGGTTGAAATTGGTTGATCAGTTGCAGAGAAGAAGCTGAAAATGTTCAAATGTTAACACACGATGGAAGGCGGACGTTGCACGACGATGGACGAAAACAGATAGCAAATGGTCACCTGAGTTTTTTCAGGCGACCTAAAAGATTTATTCATAGGTTAAATGTCAATCTTCATCGTATTAATTACGTTTCAGGCGTAGAACCATTTTTCTAGTTTCTGCATCTTCTTCAGCCTGTTTCCTCAGTTCTTCTATGTAATTAGAATCACGGGCAGGGTCCATTGTCTCATATCTCAAAAAGTCCACCTCTTTTTCATACTTGTTCCCATTGTTAAGGAAAGAATCAACGTCTGCAACTACTGATCTAACATTGGTCCAGATCGTGTTAAAATCAGCATTGGTTAGGACGGGACTAGAAGAATGTACACACTGATTTCTGGCAATACGGATTCTCTCAATGTTGGCGGAGAGAGATCGATCTGTAGGGTCTGGATCATTTCCCCAGCCATTACTGTGTGGTGGTATACCACAAATGTTTCTAAGTAGTATGTACAATAAGGAAATGTCCATATCACCATAGTTTCCTGTATAACTACAACCTCTGGGTAAAATAAGATTCATCTGTTGGGCTGTCAGACGGGGAAGGCTACTCCTTTTGTGTATAATGACGTGTGGGAATGTTGGTAGAGGTACATGGTGAAGTAAAACATCACGTAACTCATCTGTACATGGACCCAGGAGAAGCCGACAGGCTCTACAGGCATTTGTCGTCTCCTCTGTAGACGCATAAGATGAAGAGGCCATAATATTTATTTGGTGCTTTTCTGAAATGTAACAAAACCCCCATACTTTAACAATAAACAGATAAATCAGAATTATCTTCACAGAACCTAACATTGCTTATCTACTACGGTGACTAGGAAACTGGCTCTCATTAAACTTCTTTTTTTCAATTATTTCAGACTTTTGGCTAGAGAACCATACTAAAAATGTATTTTTTTCCCCAAAATTTGTTTTTTTAATTTATAACATTTATGTTTTTTTGACTCGGTGATTTGATCTAGTGACCTAAAGTCAATGTCAGATTAAATCCGAGGAACATAGAGAATCACTACAGGTTGTTGAGAAAGTATGATCTTTTAAAGTTATTGCATCATTAATTATAGAAACTCGGATCACGTCTTTTGTGTCGATTATTCTTATTTTTGCTACGTCAAAATCATGGCCAAAGAAAGAATTTCCTCGTTTATTTGTATTTATTTTTTATGGGTTAATTACCTTTGGTAAGTGTCAGAGCGGTTAGTAACTGCAGCCGTGTCTCCAGTGAATATGTTCTTCTAGCAGTTATTGATGGAATTTAATAATATTTAACTTGGTAACATTGACAAAGATTACCATAAAGTAGGCTCAGGGAAGACTTTTGAAAATAAGGTAAGTGTTATTAGATAGGAACCTCTTTAAAAGTATTACTATAATTACCAGATAAGAATTTCATTTCTGTTATGCCTGTCAAAGAGGTTATGTACAATACATCCTTTACAAACTTAATAAAGAATTCATAATTTTAATTTTTATGTACAAATTGTTCTTTATATAATGAAGAAAGGAAATTTTTTGTGCAACTTTTTAAGCGACGATGATAAAAAAGTTTCACCTCTCTGTCCAACAATCAAAATTTTTTATGGATTATGACAAATGAAGATCACCATATATTATACAAACTATGTGCCTTTGTATCAAAATCTTTTAGTATTATTTTACTACAATATGATCGATTGAAATAATTTTACTTTCTGTTGTTACGCAAACAATTTAAGAAATTCTTTCATGATCATTTATTGGAAACATCCTTACATGTATATAGTATGATGATTTTCCGACTGTAAACAAATTTCATGTTCATTTTCCCGATTCTACGGACCCTGGAACCAGTTTAAAGTGGAAGTAAAACTTTGGGTACATTTATTTAATTGGTATTTTCAGAATCAAAATGTGAAAATAAAAATGATGACTTATGTTTTATTACTATATCAGTGCCAAAATGAGCATAAAGAGAACAAACTTAGAAGAGAAATGCCTAAAATATAGTTGAAAGAAAAAGAAAAAATCATTTAGACATTCATGAACCTATATAAACATGTACATAAAATACACATATGACTCTTCAATATATATATAAATTGTGGTAGGGGCATCAACATTCTAATGCAATTGTTTTGTAAAACACTCTTTGATTGGCTAATGCACTGATGTTTGAAGCAGTAAAACGAGCATTAACGAGCGTGAAAGCTTTTTCATTGTGACGTCATAATAGAGCGACGCAAAAATACAATACTCCGTGACGTATTTCATGTAACAAAATTCAACAAAATAAGACGTAAACAACAAACAAAATGCATGGATTGCATTAGAATGGGAATAACTAAACTTTTAATTTGGTATTTGCGATCGTTAATGCTGATTTAACGGTCGCAAACATCCGTTTTACCGGCTCCGCTTACGCGTCGCCGGTAAAACTCAGTTTGCGACCGTTAAATCAGCATTAACGGTCGCAAATACCAAACTAGTGCTAATTGTAACGGGGACCGTTACAGATGTTCCCCAAACGCTCCCCAACTCCCTTTTGGTGCCATATTCCCTGTAAGCTTCATTAAATAGGACAAACTCTATGCATTTGAAATTTTAACAAGATTTACCCAGAAGTGAACCAAGTTCATTCAAATTTTAGCATTGCACGCGTGCGCATGTGAATGCATGTGCGTCATGACCATATCATCTTGTCTACACAATCTGTATATTCTAATACACTGAATATTAAAGTATTTAATCCAAAATTATTAAAAAAAATACGCTCATTCAAGTGTATTTTTGATTTTACTCATATCACGTGCACGCACGTGCATACATGAGCATGGTGACCATACCTTCTTGTAGAAGTCCATTACATCTATCTATGTTCTAAATTCCGCCCCGTTTGCTTGAAAACCAAGGGAGTTATAGCCGTTTAAAGTTTGAGTCAATCAGATTGCAGCGCACGTACACGCACGTGTATGCATGTGCATGGTGACCATACCTACTTGTAGAAGTCCATTATATCTATCTATGTTCCAAATCCCATCCTGTTTGGTTGAAAACCAAGGGAGTTATAGCTGTTTAAAGTTTCAGCCAATCAGATTGCAGCGCACGTGCATGCACGTGTTTTCATGATAATTGCTTTATTTCATGTTGTAGGATATCATAATGCATGGCTATGTTCAAAATTTCAAAGGATTTCGTCAAAAAACAAGAAAGATATTGAGAATTTAGTATCAGCCAATCAGAGCGAAGCGCACGTGCATGCGCGTGAGATCTTGCTATTTTGACCATATCATATTGTCTATACTACTAATATATCATCAGATTATGAGTTTCAAAGCATTTCATCCAAAAATAGAAAAGTTATGGCTATATCTATTATATTGGTCATTTCACGCGTTGCACGTGCACGCTCTTGCAAGCACGTGCGTGCAAAATGACCTTCATTCCGCAAATCTACATAACATGCCTACTGACCCTAAAAAGGTTTTACCTAAGTCGGATGTGTAGTTTACAAGATCACTCCCGGACAAAAAAGTACCCAGGAAGAAGAAGAAGAAGAAAAATAATAATAATAAGAAACAGAGTAAAAACAATATGTTCCCCAACTTCGTTTGGGGAACATAATTAGAAGATAGTTATTCCCTAATTATAATGACAATTAATGCACATAGTAATTAAAATATTCAATAGCAGCATATGATCAATTTCAAATTGTCTATTAACCTTAACCCACGTATTCTAAATCAATATTTTATTTTACATGTAAAAGGACTAACTAAGTTTCAAACAAAATTCTCATCCTCCAACCCTCTCTATGTCTCCTATATACCTCCCCCTTTTTGTGTGTCTTTGTTTTATCAAAAGTATTTGTTACGTTAACCTAAATATCTCAAAATCAATCATAATCAAAAAATTTTAGCACTTCCCCTACCCCGGTTTGTACTGAATATTGCACAGAACGGAATATGAGGAAATGGCGAAAACAGGCGGGAAACATGAAGAAAGCCGTGTAGAGAAAAGTTGCATGTAAAATAACTTAAAAGAATACAAATAATACGTCTATATGCACTATAAGCAATTTTATTTGCAAAAGCCGCAAGCGTTAATTCTTATGACTTCCATTTATTATACATGTATATATAAAAAGAGAGAGAGAGAGAGAGAGAGAGAGAGAGAGAGAGAGAGAGAGAGAGAGAGAGAGCATTTTATTCACTGTGATATTTTTTTAAAAGACGGCATACTTACGCATATAAACAACCACATGCACCTGACGTTACTTATTTTTTCTTTTAATAAGAAACATTTTCCCTACCTAATATTGGTATATTGTTTTTATTGAAAGAAAAATAAGTAACGTCGGGTGCCTGTGTAAACAACGTTTAAAAAATGTTTTGTAAATATTTTCGAATTCAAAACGTAAAAAAATCTCTTCACATCCGCCCTAACCTGACAACAAAATAATAGATGAGAAATTAATTAATAAAGTGATATAATGTCAATTGTGTTTATTGAAACTCAACATCAAGGAAGAATATTGTCTAACACCCCCCCCCCCCCCTTTCTATTTAAAGAGCTAGCTTTTTAAATCAGAATATCCGATTGTTTTCTGTGCTTATAAAATAACAAGAGTTATCTTTCTTAGCGCTCTTGAAAATATCTTTTTTCTATGAAACAAAATATCAATTACCTGGTTATAAACAATTTTGCGTATTATATTTTTATAACAATAAAATTAATTATACGTTAAGAACACTAGCCTTCAGAACGCTTTGATCTGACTGACATGTACAAAAAAAATTATACATGTCGGTCAGACCAAAGCGATCTGAAGGCCAGTGGTTAAGAGATAGAAATATGACAATTTTTCATTCGAACTAGGTATAAATGTTGGCAGTAAACTATTATAAATAATTAATAAAAAAAATTGGTAATAGAAACTAGAAATCAGCATTTGTATAATTGCACAGATTCGATAAAATTGGATTAGAAAGCTGTTCTGATAAATGAAATCTGTAAAATCTTACATGATAACTTATTGAATTTCGTGGAAAACGTCTTCGGAGAGTTAACTCTCTTATCAAAATTGTCTTCAGAAAGTTATCTCTCTTATCAGAGGGATATTACACCTTAAGGTTGAAATAAATGGGTGGAAAATTAGGCGGGAATCAAGAGTTAGCGTTCTTAATGTAAATGCATTATATTGTCAGTCAAGCAGTTTATGGCATATTTTAATTATCCTATATACATCTTAAAGAATTATCTTGTTATTAATTTAGTAGTATTTTTGTGGATATGTAGGTAGAGGACCCCTCCCCCCCTTTTTTCCGAAATTGTTTTTTATCACGGGTATGACTTTCATATTTCACATGTGTATTCCTTATAATAAGGCATTTTTTTGGGTACCACCAAATTTGACCTTTTGACCTTAACCTTGGAGATTTTTCGTATTTCTAAATAAATGACATATGATAAGGTGTTCATATTACACACATGTCATAAAAAAATGACATCTCACTCAGAAAGACACCGACGGGGGGGGGGACCATTTTAAATTCCTTGAATTTTATTTTATTTATTAAACAGTTATTGGTGTGTCTGCGTTACCTAGCAAAGGGAGATTTCCAGTCAGAATGCGCAGATTTACACGGAATATCACAGCCTACGACCAAGGATTATTGGGAGGGGTACTACTAAACAGAGTACGATAGAGTACTTTAGAGTACGCTAGAAAAATTGTGTATTTTAATATAATTAGACTGTTTATTCAT